GCTGAGTAAGGACTTATTGGACGAGCCTCTCCCAGATGTTCACATTCTCACGGGGCTCGGAGACTTGAACAGTTTCAAACACAGCCAAGATTTGCATACTTGCCAACAGTGTGCAGCATTAACTGTATTTGATGATAAATGATAATAAAAAGTAGTGCTGTCAAACGATTAATGGCGATTAATGGCATCCAAAATAAAAGTTTTTGTTTACATAATTTATGCGTGTGTATATTTATTATGTATATATAAATACACACACATACAGTATATATTTTGAAAATATTACATGTATTTACATGTATATATTTATATTCATATAATTTATATTATATAAAAATATATTTAATATTTAAACAACATTTTTCTGAAATATATGCATGCATGTGTGTGTATTTATAAATACATAATAAATATAAACAGCACACACTTTTATTTTGGATGCGATTAATCGCCATTAATCGTTTGACAGCACTAATAAAATAGTGTTACTAAAAATATATATATATATTCAAATTATGAGTTTTCAAATGATAAATTAAGGCACTTTATTCCATTGTTTTATTTTATTGAAAGATTGATTAAAAATGCAATTTGTACATACAGTACCTTAAATATTGTCATCCAACATATATATTTATGTTTATATTTATACACTAGCACTGTAAAAAAAATGAAGGTGCTTTTTATTTATTTGAACAATCAAATACTTAATTATTGCTACCTAACTGATATATAACAGTCTGTAGCATTAACTATAAACTAATAATAATGATTATACCTTTTAAAAAGGTTTTGAAATAATAAATAGAGGCACTAATTTATTTATTTTTATTCATTAAAATGTAGAAAAAAAATTATTATACATTTATCATATCATAAAATTTGAATTCAATTTGTAAATACAATTACTTAAATGCAGCTCTTCTAAGATAAAAAGAAAAATAATAAAAAGAAAAAAATATTTGTAATATTTTTGGGGAAATAAAGTAAAAACTGTCAGGGTGACACAGCTGTCCTGATATGATAATGAAGCAAAAAAAAAAAAAAGCCTAATTAAAGTAATGCAATTCTTGAAAAGTAAACCAGAAGTTTGACATATTTCATTATTTATTTATTTGCCAAATCCAAAGTCATGTGATACAAACAAAATGCACAAAGAAAAAATAACAGAACAAAAAACATGAAACAGGAAGTGATATCAATGACAGCTCATCTACAGACCCTCATGACACGTTGTGTTCATTACAAAAGTTAAAGCTATAAAATCTCTTTAATATCTGTTATGTCATACTGTCACTTTGCACAACTTGTAATTCCAGCTTCACGTATAAATATAGGCCTTTTTAACTGACCTTTAAGATAATGGTTTCTGAGTATTCAAGTGGATCAGGTTGAACTAACACTCAGCGATTCATTAACCTAGAGCTTTCCAATGACACTCCATGTGTCACTTATATTGCGAAATACTTTTACGTTGGAAAAACACACCCAGTTCATGGGGTTAGGCCTTTGTTCATTCAATTCCCTAAAACAAATACGCTTTATTATTGTGAATGCTGGAGGTGGCGTGCATCAGTTAAAGCTTAAAGCTCTTTGTAGAACAACAACAACAAAAATGCAATTGTACCACTACTATAGTAAATATTTTGCAAACCACGGCAGTAAAAAATTGTATTCAGCCTAAAAGTGCAGGTAAGCGAGTAAGTGCACCACATGAAGACTTGGGTAAACAGACGCGCGTGAAAAAAAAGCAGCATTCCCTTCCAGCATTCAGGCAAGTCCGAGCAGGACTTGAGGAGCTGTTGAGTTTATCTCAGTGTTTTAAGTGTGATATGTCACACATTACAGTGGCCCCCAAAAATACTGGGAATCATGCTTAAAATGTGTATATATCAACAAAATATCACACAGATGTTTTTCTAAATCACTTTTCTGAGTTAGTTTTGCAATTACATTTACTCAACTGCTGATTTTTAGTAGATGTATTAAGTCCTCACAATTGTCCTATTAAATTAACCAAAGCAAAGGTGAATTTCATCACATTAACTGAGCAGCATCATTTGACAATGACAAAGTTAATAGTTTTCGTCCTCATTCTGAACAATACATATATTGTTTTATCATTTAAAATGCTTCAGACTTGTGCTTGTGCTATTGTTATTCAAAAATTAACGCAATTTGGTTTGATATTTAGATATTTTTAAGCGTACAAATACTTTCTGGAGCCATTTTAAAAGTGCAAATATAATATTGTACGTCTATTTAGTTGTCGTTTCTTCTTTCATTCATTTTTCTCTTGATCAATACATTTAGTCTAAGTAAAGTGAAAACATAATCCACAATTGGATTCACAATAAAGCCTGAACACACACACTAATATACACCAGAAAGACTAGCGCCTAATTAAGTATTTAAGTCTTTCATTCTACTAAATTAGACTAAACAAATATTACTACAAGTCGCCCAAAAACATAAATCAACTCACCAGAGATGTCAGGAATGCTCTTGAATGGCTGAATAAATGTCTGTCGTATATTGTTTCAGAAGGCATGTACGCATCGACAGTAAAGTACAGTCTTAACCCAACCCACACCTGAGCGATACCGTGTGACGTCAACTTCCGGTCGTGAGTCGCCTGTCAGCTGCCTCATGCTTGTAAAATATCAGATGTTGTAGTATAGAAGATGACCTGTACTTATTTACACTATTTTATTTTATACTTTTTACATTTGATTTTATTTTTGTATTTAGTTGTGTCTTAGAATGGCAAAAGTTTAATGTAAATGTAAAATTATATAATAAAAATAATAGTAATATAAATTTAAATTATTTTATAATATATATTTATAATGGAATTCATTACAGCCAATCAGAAGGGCGTATGGACGGGTTCTCTCTGCAAACGCACTGCAGCTAAATATGTAAGTACACAATCAAGTTATTACTGATGAAACGATTTTAACATTATTCAAAATACATACTCAGTGACTGTTACAGTCTTTGTCATACAATACACTTAGCTGTTCACTCGTAGGTCACAGTTTGAACGTTTTTGTTTCCTTTAAGTTATTTTCAAGATCTGAGGTAACTTATCTATTGTCGCTTTCATTAAGGCTGTTAGAATCTTGAACAATGATATACGAACTCAAATTAAACCATTTTAGTATTATGAAATACACATTTGTAAGTCATGAATCATTGATGCTTTAAAAGTGTTGATGGAATGAAAAATTCAAGAAGAAACATTCAAAAAAATCCACAATGTTGGCTACAAACACCTTAGATTACTTCAACACTGTGTTTACGGATAATGCAAGAGATTTTTGAATATTTTCTCTTGACAGGACATATGGGCATAAATATTTAAGAGTGATTCTTTAATTAGCCACTCTTGAGTACTAGAAATACTCTTAAATTACTAAAATAGTTTATTATTATTCTAGCACTCATACTTCTATTTAAGTGTGCAGCGTTTCTAGTAACTACAAAAATTTTAGTAGGCTATACATTGTTGCAAATATTGATGAAATTTTATTACATATTCATTAAAGTCAAACAATAATCAGCAGGCTGCACATGAGGCCATGCGAAATTTATTGAATGCAATTGAAATCGAACATGTTACTTGAACAATATGACAGCAGAGCGCCTGAAAGAAAATAAGAGAGAGAGAGACGTGCTGGAGAGATTAGAGAACACACACTGTACAGTTTTCTATCGTGCTCATTTACAGTTTAATAACCTTGTTTGTGGATTGAAATAACATTTGTTTCCAGTAGTACCATTCTACCGTGTATTCAGGGCTGTGCACATATTTCCATTCCAAACACCGACACATCACTCAAACTACTCAAGAAATGTTGGAATGGGAGAACAGGTGTGCAAGTTTATGTTTCGAGAGGCAAGCACCAAAAATTACTGCAGTTTTTACAATTCCTTATGAAATAAAGGGCACAAAAGGAAGGCCGTTTTTTTTTTTTGTCAGGCAACAAAGCCTCTACCCGTATACAGCCACATTCTGCCTTAAAAGGATTAAAGGTGTGGTTTAATTTAGCTACTATAATCTGGCGAATTTTTGCTGGCGAAATTAAGTGAAGTGAAAAAGTGACATGACATGTGGCCAAGTATGGTGACCCATACTTGGAATTTAACCCATCCAAAGTGCTCCCGGGGAGCAGTTGGGGGTTCGGTGCCTTGCTCAAGGACACCTCAGTCGTGGTATTGAAGGTGGGAGAGAGCGCTGTACATTCACTCCCCCCACCCACAATCCCTGCCGGTACGAGACTCGAACCCGCAACCTTTGGATTACGAGTCTGACTCTCTAACCATTAGGCCATGACTTCCCCGCTTGCAGATTTCACAACAGATTCACACAAATTTTGCACTTTGGCCAATAAAAAGCTGCTTGGTTTGACAGTGCCTTCTTCATGGCTTCACTGTTACCAATGGACCTTTTCGCCAACGAAAATTCATATTTTCACCAACATTTCACTAAGATGATCACACTTTAAGGGGAAATGCTAATAGACTGAGATTCGTAACATCTTAAAATGCCACACAGACTCCAGGCGTAAAAATGCGGCATGTCTTAACCCCTTATAAACAAGTCAAAAAATTATTTTTATTATTTAAAATAATTTACCAATCAAACGATTTAGCCCTCAGTCGCAAAACACGGAAATGGCTCCAACAATCCGGGAAAATATATAATTTGGTAAACTGCTTTTAATACTTTTGCGTGACCTGGGACAGGAAAATACTTCAGATCAGTCACCACAAGCATACATAACAGTACAAAAGTATTTTGAAAATAATTATGACTCCAGCACATGATGTTATTCATCTTCATCCATGGAAATATCGTTCAAACAATTCAGTCCACCTGATTTTTTTTTAATCGCACCGACAGAAAGGTTTGGTTTTCTAACCCCTAATCTTATTTAAGACCTTTTAATGAAAGATAAATATTGATTAAATAGATCATTATGCTGAACATTTCCATCAGTCGGTCCAACCCCGACCCCCCCCCAGGAACGGAATGAAATGAATTCACAATCCTGCTGTGAATCAATGCCATTAGATAATGTTAAAACCCATCAAAAGTGGGTTCGGCCTGCAAACTAAACCACTCACTGCACATTAGCACACTGGTTAATGTATACTAGATATGACAGGATTCCCTTACAGTACTAAACTGTTATAATCACAAGCTATGCATGTGAGAACCTTTCCATAAGCAGCCGTACAATCGTATCAGGACAGTCGTAAAAAATTATTCAAATAAAAACATAGACAAAAAGCAACATAAGGCCACACGTCAACATATGTGCGAGATTTCTGTACAAACTAAGAACATTCAGTGCTTTAGTGTACCAAATTAAAATAACAGGTCATCAATGACAACTTTTCATTATTTTCCTTTTTTTTTGGCACATTTATATAAAAACAACACGTGCAGTAAAACAACTTGAATCACACAGTCTCACATGAGTTTGATCCATTTGCCACCCCATAGAGTTTTACATTCCAGTAGTGCATAATCTTGTGTGTCCGAACGACAACTGACGGAAGAGTGTAAAAAGTGTTGTAGGATTCCTTTATGTACAAACAAGTGCATTGAGATTGTGTACGTCCGCCGTCGAGAAACACTAGGACTTCACGGCCGCTACTTTCTTCGGCGTTCCTGGTTTTTTGGTCTGCCACAGGTGGCTGTGGATCGTGATGGCATCGACGCTTGCCGACATGGTCTTGGCTGGAATTTGGCTGAACTGCTTCCTATCAGAGTTGTACTTGTAGAGGCCGTCGATCATCTTGCGCGAGATGGTTTTAGGACCGATGCCGGTCAATTTGTTGATCTCCTCTGTGTCAGGGCAGTTGGTGTAGAGCGAGCGGAACTGGCAGCCGGAATCTCGGAACAGGATCAGGAAGTTGTTGGCCCCTGATTTCTCCATTTCCTTGAGAAAACAAATAAATATGATGAATAAAATGTATAATATAAATTTAATGGGGGGAATAAAATTAATTAATTAAATTAACACATAAACTATTCAACATTACACAATTTTTAATATAATTTTTTTTTTATTAAATGCACAAATTAAATGTATATTATGTATTGTTTTTTTATTCATTTAATTTATTTGTTAAATAAAATATCATTACTAAATAATAATAGTAGTAATAATTGTAAAATGGACATGCTTACTTCCAAAATCTTGTTTTTCTGTCCTTCATTGACTTTGCCAGCCAAACAGCAATGTGTCAAAGCATTCTGAATTATATGCTTATTTGACTTTGCACTGGGCTCCTTATATAATTTGGGACCTGCAGCAAAGAGGTGGTATTATGTAATGTCATAACACAATATAAAAGTTATTGTACCTTTGGAGTCTGCTGTGCAACCTCCAGTCCTCTAGAGGGAGCTGTCACCTGAAGTTCTGAGCATGTTTTATCCACCTTATTCTTCCTGTAAAAAGGGGCGCAGCCATTTGCGAATTTTATGGGTCTTGCTTCCGGTCTCATCCGCGTCCAGCTATTTTTAGCTGTACAAAACCGCTCGTTTTGCTGCTTGATATTGCAAATTGGTGTCTTACCATATTATTTTAATGTATCATCTTAATTACGAACACATTGCATGTTGTAATTCTTCTCGTTATTTTCCTATAGCGGCTAATGAACTGTAAGTCTCGCCCATAGGCTTACTTCCGCGTTGAAGAATAAGGTGGATACATTAAAATTGTATTATGTTCAGTATGTTCAAACGTTTGGTCATTTAGAAAAGCTTAGATGTAGACAGTATACAGGTTCCCTCTGCTGGACTGGAGGTGGAGCCGCAGCCAATAAATATTGTGGAAAATTTTAGTATTTTAACCTGTGTATTCGGTGTTGGATGTCAGTGAGGATGTGGTTGAACCATTCTCCCAGTCTTTCTCTCCGTTACGGCTGCTGGAGCGAGTGGGCGACAGGCAACCATCTGCTGAGTCAGGCCTACTGGGATGACATGAAAAACTGAGTCCTGCAATCCATCAGATTCTGATACATCTACCAACAACAACTGCTCTCATGCAAAATCAAGCAGTGACTGAATTAAAGCTCTTAATCATAAATAATATTTTTTTATGCATGTAATTTCCCTGGTATCAGCATCAAACGAAACAACAAAAATAAAATACTTTTAATGTGACGTATTAGAGAAAGCAACAGAATATTAAATGCATGTTAAGACCAGCAACATGTATTAAGAAGTTTAATTTAAAAAACAGTTATTTTAATAACATTATGGAAGCTTCTAAATAAGCCTCTAGCAAACGTGTGAAGTGCAGATCTTTATTTTTGTGTTTTTGAAGTTTCAGTGCCATTCAGTGTCAGTATAAAGGGTAAGTGACCTTAAATCTTTGCTTGTTTAATAATGACAAAATGAAACAAAAAAAGCTGTGATGGGTGAGCTATAGTAGCCATCTTTATTGTTCAAAGATGGGGGATCGTTCCTCGTGTTGCTGCCGAACTCAAAGCAAAACAGGATGTTCTTCTTGAACAGAAGATGGAAGCGCAAAGAGTCTTTCTTAACTAGGACTGACCTTCTATTTCTCACACGAGGAGAGCTCAAAAAGAAGAAAAGACTGCCAGATGCTAAGCTATTGCTTCTAAGAAGCAAGAACATTCAAGAACAAGAAGGAAAAAATACAGAGAATCCAAAGGACACTGGGTTAGTATTGTACAGTAAAGCTAGAGAAATATATAGAATTGCAGGGAAACAAGGAAGTAAACATATTCTCATTCTGCTGACTACTTGAAGTGCTTCTTACCTTTGTGTTTTCTTATCTGAGTTGACACTGTCATTATCGCCAAGAGACGCCAGAGACAGGCTGGACACTGAAAAAACACGAGGTCGTGAACCTGGATGCAAAACAAAACGGGACAGGACCCACAGTTACACAAGATAACAGCAAGCCCGCCAAACTTTGTGTTACCCTCATAACAGTACAGCTCTCTGCAATTAAGGTATTATCTTTCTAACTTCTTCAAACTGTCTAAACACACACAAAAGAGTGTAATTTGAAAGATTCCTAAAAGAATTCAGCCAGATTGGTTAAATTAATTCAAAAGAGTACTTTGAAATTAGTTGGAAATTAGTTAGAAAGTTAATAAATTGGTTAGAATAGATATTTAGAGCAAGTAAAGATCTAGAGTACTTGTTAGAAGGAAATACAGAGGGATGCAGTGAGCTGGACAGGAAAAGGCTGAGAGTAGCACAAAGCATGCAGTGCCGGGCTTTGCCAGTAGGGGGCGCCCTTTACCTGCCATGGCCCTGACAGGAGTCCTGGGGGACTCCATCACATCTCTGTGGATGGACTTGGGCCGTGGTTTTCTCTGTTTGGCCCCCGCAGGACGCGGTTTGACAAGCGTGTCCATGTCCTTCATAAGCTTCAGCTGTTTTCTCCTCAGGTACTCCTGTTTGATAAATTCCCGTCGGGCTTTGTCTTCTTCCTTCTTCATGCGGTCTTCCTCTGCTTTCAGTCTGTGGAAAAAGACAAATATTGCAATTAAGAATGAGGGGGAGGAGTTTAGATTTAGTGACTGACAGCTGGGCTGGATGTTACCTGGCCTCTTCTTTCTTTTGCTCAAGCTCCGCCTCCAGCTGTTGTTTCCTCTGCTGGCTCTCTCGTTCTCTTCTCAGCCTTTTCTCCAGAAGTGCTGCTCGCTTTATGGCCATGCTATCCTCTTCCTTCATATCATCCTTACAACATGAACACATTATCAGAATGGACATTAAGAATCTCTGTTAATGTCTTATGTTTCAGGTCTATCAAGTATCTGAACAAGGAATCTGAAGGCAATTTACTGATGTTAATGTGACGAGTCTGGATGAGCCAGATACGCAACACTTCTCAGACTCCCTGCAGAACGCTAACACCATAAAATAAATTATTTATTTGACTTAGTTTTCTGACCTAGATCAAACAGCTGCATTTTCTAGGGATCTGTCCCAAGCTAACCTCCTTCTGCGACTAAAAATAATTTCATATGTTATATAGTCACACAGCATTTTCCTGAGCTAAAGCTATGATAATACGCCATTTTGGGTTATAACTATGGCCCTTAACAGATAAAACAGCTAGATTTTTAAAGGTTTCTTAATAAAATGTAGCAGGCACTTGCCACCACACTGCTTAAGTGTTCTGGATAGCTGCTAGAGCATTGTTAGCTGTTTGCTAAGTTGTTCTGTGTGGTTTTAACAAATTGCTAGGCTATTGTTAAGGTTCTCTAGGTGGTTACTTGCTGGCCCAAGACAACATAGCTCGCCATCAAGTCAAGAAAATATCCTCAACAAACCATATAATTTAAGTTAGCATTCAACAAAGCAGGACAGGACCCACAGTTACACAAGATAACAGCAAGCCCGCCAAACTTTGTGTTACCCTCATAACAGTACAGCTCTCTGCAATTAAGGTATTATCTTTCTAACTTCTTCAAACTGTCTAAACACACACAAAAGAGTGTAATTTGAAAGATTCCTAAAATAATTCAGCCAGATTGGTTAAATTAATTCAAAAGAGTACTTTGAAATTAGTTGGAAATAAGTTAGAAAGTTAATAAATTGGTTAGAATAGATATTTAGAGCAAGTAAAGATCTAGAGTACTTGTTAGAAGGAAATACAGAGGGATGCAGTGAGCTGGACAGGAAAAGGCTGAGAGTAGCACAAAGCATGCAGTGCTGAGCTTTGCCAGTAGGGGACACCCTTTACCTGCCGTGGCCCTGACAGGAGTCCTGGGGGACTCCATCACATCTCTGTGGATGGACTTGGGCCGTTGTTTCCTCTGTTTGGCCCCCGCAGGACGCGGTTTGACAAGCGTGTCCATGTCCTTCATAAGCTTCAGCTGTTTTCTCCTCAGGTACTCCTGTTTGATAAATTCCCGTCGGGCTTTGTCTTCTTCCTTCTTCATGCGGTCTTCCTCTGCTTTCAGTCTGTGGAAAAAGACAAATATTGCAATTAAGAATGAGGGGGAGGAGTTTAGATTTAGTGACTGACAGCTGGGCTGGATGTTACCTGGCCTCTTCTTTCTTTTGCTCAAGCTCCGCCTCCAGCTGTTGTTTCCTCTGCTGGCTCTCTCGTTCTCTTCTCAGCCTTTTCTCCAGAAGTGCTGCTCGCTTTATGGCCATGCTATCCTCTTCCTTCATATCATCCTTACAACATGAACACATTATCAGAATGGACATTAAGAATCTCTGTTAATGTCTTATGTTCAGGTCTATCAAGTATCTGAACAAGGAAACTGAAGGCAATATACTGATGTTGATGTGACCAGTCTGGATGAGCCAGATCCACTACACTGCTCAGACTCCCTGCAGAACACTAACACCATAAAATAAATTATTTATTTGACTTAGTTTTCTGACCTAGATCAAACAGCTGCATTTTCTAGGGATCTGTCCCAAGCTAACCTCCTTCTGCGACTAAAAATAATTTCATATGTTATATAGTCACACAGCATTTTCCTGAGCTAAAGCTATGATAATACGCCATTTTGGGTTATAACTATGGCCCTTAACAGATAAAACAGCTAGATTTTTAAAGGTTTCTTAATAAAATGTAGCAGGCACTTGCCACCACACTGCTTAAGTGTTCTGGATAGCTGCTAGAGCATTGTTAGCTGTTTGCTAAGTTGTTCTGTGTGGTTTTAACAAATTGCTAGGCTATTGTTAAGGTTCTCTAGGTGGTTACTTGCTGGCCCAAGACAACATAGCTCGCCATCAAGTCAAGAAAATATCCTCAACAAACCATATAATTTAAGTTAGCATTCATGTTCATAGACCAAATGGTGTGTGACAAGAGTTGATCACACCTAAATTTAACACGTAAATTACCTTAAAGACATAGTTCACCCAAAAATGAAAATTGTCATTAATTACTCATGTTGTTTCAAACCTGTAAGACCTTCGTTCATCTTCAGAAGACAAATTAAGATATTTTTGATGAAATCCAAGCGCTTTCTGACCCTACATAGACAGCAATGCAACTGACACGTTCAAGGCCCAGAAAGGTAGTAAGGAAAACATTAAAATAGTCCATGTGACATCAGTGGTTCAACTTTAATTTTATCAGAATCAGAATCAGAATGAGCTTTATTGCCAGATATGTTTACACATACGAGGAATTTGTTTTCGTGACAGAAGCTTCCACAGTGTAACAGAATGACAGTGACAGAACAAAAAATAAAAAAATTAAATAAAATATTTTTATTTTATTTATAATGCTATGAGAAAACTTTTTGTGTGCAAAGAAAACAAAAATAACAACTTTATTCAACAATTTCTTCTCTTGTGTCAGTCGACGTGCGCTCACAAGAGTACTGCGATGCATGCGGAATAAATTGTTGAATAAAGTCGTTTGTGTGCAAAGAAAACAAAAATAACAACTTTATTCAACAATTTCTTCTCTTCTGTGTCAGTCGACGTGTGCTCACAAGAGTACTGCGATGCATGCGGAATAAATTGTTGAATAAAGTCGTTATTTTTGTTTTTGCACATAAAAAGTATTCTTGTAGCTTCATAAAATTACAGTTGAACCAAGTTCATATGGACTATAGGCGCTATCGCACCGGTGGAACCTTTTCATAGTTCCTAGAACTATTGGCGGAAGTTCCCGCTTTTTGCCGTCTTGGCACCGCAGGAACTAGGAACGTATTTAGTTCAAGGAACTCAGTTTGGGGGAACCAATTTAGCTCGAAACACCAGCTACCTGGCATTTTTAAAAATCCATGTAAACAATTACTCCACGAACATGGAAAATACCAATAACGGCATTTCCCTGTTGTCTGCAGCGTTTTGTTCTTTTCACAGCCTCGATGATAACACTGCAAGTTGTCATAGGAGATTTAGTCAGATTTTTGTGCTCTTTTAATCTCGTAAATTGTGTGTTTACATTCCATCTCCATTATCACGGAACCCATGAGACACATCAAAAACAAATCTGAATGTGGCGTCCTCCATTCATCGGTTGATGTTTGTAAATGCCACGAATAAAAACGTCACCTGGGCCGCTTCAGAGTTCCTGCTGCCGGTGTGAATGCAACCAGGAAAATGGCCCGAGGGAGAAATTGGTTCTCCATGCTGGCTAGTTCCTAGAACTATGTTGTGCGAAAGCGCCTTATTTTAACGATGTCCTTACTACCTTTCTGGGCCTTCAACGTGGTAGTTACATTGCTGGGGGTCAGAGAGCTCTCGGATCTCATTAAAATATCTTAATTTGTGTTCTGAATTTTTGGGTGAACCTTCCCTTTAAGTTCAAACTGCTAACAGCTATAGCAATAGTGACACTTGCTTTAGCATTCACCACTAAGTATTCACATATGGTAGTAGTAGAGTTTATTTACGAGGTTTCTTAATCTACAGATTAAGACAAGGATCCTCTGACATTCATATCTACCTTGAAAAAGAATCCACAGCACATTTTCTGCTCATCGTCTAGATTTTCCCCTGAAGTCTCCTTCTCGCCTTCCTCTTCCAACGCCTGTCCATCCAGGGGCTTGAGAACAGACAGTGGAACCTCAATCAAATTTTTGTTGGTCTGATGGGTGATGTCAACTGGCTCAGTGGGAGTGACAATGACGGTCTCCATTACAAGGCCGCTTCAGAGTTCCTGCTGCCGGTGTGAATGCAACCAGGAAAATGGCCCGAGGGAGAAATTGGTTCTCCATGCTGGCTAGTTCCTAGAACTATGTTGTGCGAAAGCGCCTTATTTTAACGATGTCCTTACTACCTTTCTGGGCCTTCAACGTGGTAGTTACATTGCTGGGGGTCAGAGAGCTCTCGGATCTCATTAAAATATCTTAATTTGTTTTCTGAATTTTTGGGTGAACCTTCCCTTTAAGTTCAAACTGCTAACAGTAAGCTATAGCAATAGTGACACTTGCCTTAGCATTCACCACTAAGTATTCACATATGGTAGTAGTAGAGTTTATTTACGAGGTTTCTTAATCTACAGATTAAGACAAGGATCCTCTGACATTCATATCTACCTTGAAAAAGAATCCACAGCACATTTTCTGCTCATCGTCTAGATTTTCCCCTGAAGTCTCCTTCTCGCCTTCCTCTTCCAACGTCTGTCCATCCAGGGGCTTGAGAACAGACAGTGGAACCTCAATCAAATTTTTGTTGGTCTGATGGGTGATGTCAACTGGCTCAGTGGGAGTGACAATGACGGTCTCCATTACAATCTGCGACAAAACCTCAGACACACTAGATTCCACAACCGGCTTAATCGCATTTGTTGGCTTCTTCAGCTGGTCCCTTTCCTCAGTTGGTTTGTTCTCCATCTTGCTCTCCTCTCCCCTATCTACTGGCTCCTTGGCTGACAAGTCAGCGTCTTCGGTTACAGCCTGTTGGGTTTCTTTGGTTGGGGAGGTGATGGTACCAGTAGAACATTCAATTGACAACGACTCAAGGCCTTGTTCTATGTCCTTGTCTGTGGCTTCAGCTCCTGATGGTGGTTTCTTCTCTTTTCCCAAATAAGAAAATGAGCAGGACACGGACTGAGATGGGGAGAACCTTCTCAAGCGTGGTATGCTGTCCACCGACTGTGGAACGGTCAGGACTCGGTTGAAAGGAGTGATCTTTAGCTCACTGGGTCTGGGTGTCCTTGGTGTCTTGGAATGGAAAGAAGCAGACTTCCTCTTAAGGTTTGTAGGGGAACGGTGCGTAGCTCTAGGAGAATCTGCAGGTGAGGGAGAGCCTGAAGAGCGTGCCCCACTCCCTCTGAGCTCTCGCACTTGCTTCTGTGGCGAAGGTTGAGGTGGCGACACAACCCAAGCCTGTTGCTCCCGCATCTGCATGATTACCTCCTGCTGCTGGGCCAGCCGCTGCATCTCACTCTGCAAGAAGCTCAGGGAAGCATTGAGCTTCTCAATGGAGCGTGTGTATTCCATCAGGTCCGCCTCGGATGTACCGTCCTCCCCCGCAGACTTCACCGGAGACTTGACGGGCTGAGGTGTCTCCGCTGGCGTCTTGCTTCCCTCTGAGCTGGGAGTGTCCTCTTGAGAAGGTGAGGTGCCATCTACTCCTTTCCTCTTGACAACTGTGAGGAAAGCACTGCGTCCCATCTTCTGACGGTGCCGGGTAAAAGCAGCCTCTACTTTCTTCTTCTGAGCCTCAATGGCTCGACGCTTCTCTTCAAGTCTCATGCGCAGCTGCACCATTTCTGCAGCCATGGCCTGGGCCGGATCCTTGGATGGCTGATGTGCAGGGCTGACCTCAGGTGAAGGAGCCCAGGAAACAGAGTGAGGAATGCCGAGATCTGAACTGTCTGGTGCTGTACTTTGGGATGCAGCACCTTTGGCCTCCACGTTTGGATTCAGTTTACGGAATTTCTGCTCAGCAAAGCTGGTCATCTTAATTCCAGGTGTAAAAGCAGGGGCGCTTCCGGCAGGGGACTTGCTGCTTAGGCTGCTGGGACATGGGCTTGTAGAGCCCTGGCTATGGCAAGCTCTTGCCTCAAAGTCTTGATCCGTATCAAGCTCCATACTGACAGTACAATCCCTAAGGGATGAGTCCTCATCTAGGGTCTCTTGGATGTCCTCCGTCCACACATGTATGCCGGTGTCTACTTCAGTGGTGGATGTGCTAGCAACCCCTTTGGACGTTTCTGAAACTGAGACTAGCTCGCCATCCTTTGCTTCAGGGTTCAATTCACATTTATGCCGGAGGTGAAGAAAGAAGCCCTCACTGGGCGCATGGTCCCTGGGGCTCTGAGATTTCTTCTCTGAGTTGTGGATGATCTCAAGAGCCTCTTCGATGCTAGGTGGCCCTGAGCCATTTAGACGGCCATTATGGTTTCCTGACAGGCTGTCAGGACAGCATTCCTCCTCGATGCCCATGTTCTTTCCGTTGACAGGCTGAAAGGACAGGTTTCTCTTGATGCCCCTGGTGCCGTGGGGTATCTTGAAACCAAAACCTTCAGTGCTGACAGACCGAGTCATCCCTCGGCCAGTGGGTGTTTGATTGGTGCTCTCTTTATCAAATGGGATTTCAAAGGACACTCCCTGAGCAGCAGACCTGGAGAAAGAAGAGAGGATGGTATCCAATGGCATGTAGTTTCAAACTCGATGTCTTTAATTCTCAATAATGAAATTAATTTGCACTTACTTCTTCTCTTTGGGCCAAGTACCCATGAAGCTTTCCACAAATGACATTGAGGTTGATCGCTTGATCTCACCTGTACAGCACACATATAACATAGTACTGGGTGCATTTCAAATTAAGACTTATATTTTGTTATCATAAAACATTTTTTAGGTCTTTTAACTTTACCTGAGCCTGAATTCTGTGATTGAGGTCGGAGAGGGAGACTTTAACATGAACATAAAAAAATATGAATATCCATCCAATTTTACATTTGAATTTCAACAGGCATTCAAAGTAAATAAAGTAGAAAGGGGAAGTTTTCAATAAAAGAGACTTTTGATATACCTTGGTCTGTCCGGACTAGGAGGTCTTTCCATGAAACTTCTCTTTGTGACTTTTGAGATGGGCACAGATGGCAGATTTTTCAGTGAAGGGGCTGGTACTATAAAGGACAAGACAAATGTGTCGGTATATAAACGTAAACACCATTGGCTAATAATTCTGGGAAATACATTCTATTGTAATATTAGTCTACCTTCAGTTTCCAGCACCTGAGGCTGGACGAATGGCGGCTTAACAACCTCGAACCACCAGAAGAGCTCAGCCATAAACACAAGATAGTTATTCTGTTAAAAACAAACAAACAAATTAACTTGCATTGCAAGCATTTTTTTCCAAAATAATTTGCATGCTCGTATAAAACTAGTATGTGTAATATTCCTCCTCTCCCACAAGATGTCTCTGCAATTCTCTCAATCCTGGTAGTGCATGAACGGACACCACCTGGAGACAAGAGTACCCTTTTCCTTCAAATTTAATTAAATAGCTTACACACATGGTCAGAATTGGGGAGCCGCTATTATACCTGGCATTGAAACTGGCATCGTGCTTTTGAATGCACGATCGCTTTTAGTTTCACTTTCACTTTCGAGATTCGCGATCGCACGTACTCTGTTTATACTACGGAGCGGCAATACTTACCACACATTTTACAAGATTAGATGTTTGTCAGTGGTGCTCAGGATCTGCAAATTATTCACCGTCGTCCTCAGTCATCTCTCCTTACTCTGTTTATGTGGTAAGTGAAATTTTATGTACTGTAATGTAACAGGCACATGTTAGCCATCGTTATTTGTTTTCCGTGCCTTTCTGAATATGGATCCCCCCTCCTGATGTCATCGTCCATCGCAATGTTTCACTGTAGACATCATCCGATGCCAATTTTGTAGACATCGCCAAACGCTAGTGTCTATATCATCCTAATGCACGGTGAGAAGGAGAGTTTGAGTGGCCAAAGACTCTTCAAGGATCACAGCTGGAGAATTGCAGAAAAAGGTTGAGTTTCGGGGTCCGAAAACCTTAAAAAAATTATCAAACAGCACCTACATCACCACATGTTGTTTGGGAGGGCTTCAAGAAAAAAAATCAAGAAAAGAAAATTCTTTCACCAAAAAACAATCTCCAGCATATTTAGTTAGACACGACTGGAACTTCAAATGGGACTGGTTTCTTTGGTCAGATGTAACTAAAAAATTAGCTTTTTAGCAGCAAACCCTCAAGATGGGTTTGGTGAACACAGGGATAAAAAGTACCCCATGTGTACAATAAAATATACTGCTGTATTTTTAATGTTGTGGGCCTATTTTGCTGCTGGAGGTCCTGGACATCTTGTTTAGACACATGGCATAATTGATTCTATCATAATTGATTCTATCAAATACCAACAGATAAAAAATCAAAATGTGACTGACTCTGTTAGAAATCTTATAATGGGCCATGTTTGGATCTTCCAACCGGACAATAATCTAAAAACAAACCTTGAAAACAACACAAAAATGGGTCACTGGGAACAAAACCAAGCTTCTGGCCTGGCCATTCCAGTTCCCTGACCTGCACCATATAGAAAATGAGTGTGGTGAACTGAAGAGGAGAAGCACCATCATGGAGCTGGGAATCTGAAGGGTCTGGAGTGATTCTGGATGAAGGAATGGTCTCTGATCTCTTGTCAGGTGTTCTCTAACCTCATCAGGCATTATAGGAGACAACTCCTATACTATTTTGGTTTCAAAAAGCATTGAATAAAAGGGTGCCGTTAATTGTGTCCAATGTGTATTAGAGAAAAACATTTATTTCAAAATTATATTTCCCCCCATTTTAAATTCTTATTCTCCAATGAAAGGTTAGATTTTTGTGAATTTTTAAATAAAAGATCAAAAGGATTAACAATGCAGATTAATTTTCATAGCCTTCTTTGATCATATTTACCAAGGGTACCAACACTTCTGATCACGTGTGCACATATAAGGAATGCTGAGGGATTTTATGCTGTACAGTATATACAGTATAGCTTTTTTATTTGGTCCAATAATGCACAAAACCTTATGCCAAGACTACAGAATTCATGACATTGAATTCATAGAGGGTACCTGACATGATGAAAAATGCCTCTGATACACTGTTCCCACTCAGCAGAATTTACATCTAGCAGTTTAAAGGCACAGGCTAACCGCAGCAATTATCAGAGGCCACTCCCAGAAGACATTACCTCAGCATATTAATTGACTTTCAACAAAGAGTTCTTACTCCCTTTTAGGGCTGCACGATAAATCGTATGCGATATTTAACGCGCATCTTGTCAGAAAGCCGGTTCTGTAATCAGCGGTAAATCTCCATCACGTGCGTGCTTTCACATTGAGCAGCATTAACTACACAGAGCCGTTGTTCACTGACGAGCTGCGCCAAACCACGTTCATATTCGCGCGAGTTTTTGCGCAGCTCGTCAGTGAACAACGGATCTGTGTAGTTAATGCTGCTCAATGTG